AACCAGCACAGCTCGCGAAACTCGTCCGTTCTGGATCTGGATTGATCGTGAATAATATGATGGATTACGGTGTTATTCTCAAGGGTTGGCACTATGAATGAACTGCCCTGGACATTTTCCAAAAAGGCCTCGTTACTCGCATGGATAAATACTGCGACCAGCCGTCAGCTTGCATAAAGATTTGATTCCTTGCCACTCAGTGATAGTCATCAAGTGACGGACCAGCGGCTACGAGAGTATGGCGAGCCACGAGATATAAAACTAGTCGTCGAATGCGCAAGTCGATATGTAGATCTGTGCACATCACAGAAATGAATATTAATGCAGATGGTCTAAGCGTTTCCATTTGAAGATGCAACGAACTTCATGAAGCATTTGTAAAGCCTGAAATCTGGGTTACATCTTTCCTGATTATTACACTGAAATATCAGTTATAAGGCGAATCATCCAGTGCAAAGAAAGCAGCCACAAGGAGACGTCACATTGGACAGTACGCTAATGCCTCTTATACACTGTAGCATCACTGTTAATGATTACTGTACGGCCCCCATATTAGCAAGTCACTTACCAGGTCGAAGTTTTTCCACTAGTAACGCTGAAGCAATATTCTGTTAATTCGATTTTCAATGGAATTGACGGTTCATTCGTCCGTTGTTCGTTGAGCTTCAGCGAATCGTGAATCGTGGGAATTTATAGCCAGGTTTTAAAACGATGGCAGAGCCGTCCAGGGCAGTATTTTACTTTTAGTTGCATGAATGGAGATCAATGCAACGTGTATGAGTAAAGTTTTCTAGTTAAACGAATTTTCATTAAAAAAATATTGGATATGATTCATCGCAAATGCGATTCTTTACGTTTGCAATTTTCTTCGGTCATGGATCACCTGTTTACAAAAGGGACAGATTTGAGAGTCAGAATTTCGTCATCTTCGGTAACGCCGTAATTTGACTGGCAAATAGAACTGATGCTGATCATCACTGGTCGCCTTCCTCCGCTTCTTTCACACCGATAAATGGCTGACCTCTCAGAAGAGGTCGACGAACGTTCAGATAATAGAAGGTGGGCGAAGCAACGGGTGCACTGTTACAGGGTATAAGATTTTGCCAATGTATAGAACCATGTATATCTGAATTGGGAGGATTTTCGTGGAGTTCACCGTATCAGATATGCGATGCTGCCAATGGAACGTAATGATCATCAGCTAACTTTAATTTGAATTAATGGTCTCCCTGAGTTCGATTATATGTGACAGTCTGCCCAAGTTAATGGCTGTAGTTTTTAATTTGCATATGCTGATACCCTAAAAATATCCGTGCGCTTTGTGATGTGATCTTCAAGTTTAATTGCCGGATTGCGTTTCAGACCGTATGCTGTAACATGTTAAACATATTTCCAACCAATGTGCTCTCTAGTAATATCGGAATATTTCTCCTTTCTAAAACATTTTAACAGCTACGTTAAAAATCATGCGCTTTGTCGATGGATACAGCTTATTTCAATGCATTTTGCATATATAGGCGGCCCTAATTAAGCAAGTAATGTACGGAGATCCAGCTGTCTGTTGCACTTGCTTGATACATGGATGCAGCAGCATAGCATTTTATTTTATGAAGAATTTAAATGGTAGCTGAATGTTTTTTTTTCTCAGACTAGCTCGTTTAGTCGTGGCAAAAGCAGGTCTGAAATTATTGAAACAAAAGTTTTATTTTTCGTGCTGGTGTCCGTGGAATCAAAAGGTATATTTTTAATTTCTTTTAGTAAAATTAAATTTGCCAGTTAGAATACCTTTCTGGCGTATAAATTATGTATATTTGTCGTAATGTGCCGTTGTATCCAATTGCCTGCGTTCTATGACAAAGAGTACTGTGGTAACAAATGGGCGTTGCGAGGCGGACGATATTTCATATGAGGAATTTGCTTACATTTCAGTTCCTGACGGAAGTTTGCGGAGTATGGACATAGCACAAATGATGGTTTGATGATTTAGATAACATCGCTTATTTTTTGGGTTGGGGAACAGGCGGAAGCACTCTTTGTTGCCTTTCACTTCGATTTATCTGTACATACACATACAAAAAATACACTTCATTCCCGTACTAGTGTATTCAAGTGCAATTGCAAATTTGCGGTCGTTTAAATGTTTATCGTAGGAAATGGTCACAAGTGTATGACATTCCATAGAAACATATGCAGTATACGAGCTGTTGTCATGATACACGCCGCGTGTCGCAAAATTTTTCTCTGCACATTAGAGATTGTTTCAGCCACATTCTTCAATCGTTAGCTCGCTTAAAGCAGTCACATTTTGTAAATTGTTACTTGATTCATAACTGGTTCAGTAAATCGAGAGGGCTGTGCTGTCGTCAGGCCTGTCGAAATCTCACTTGCTCTGAACAACCTCCTCGTAAAAAGTGCCGAAAATGGATGAACATGAACTTAGCAAATTACTGTATTCAGTATCATTGTAGATGTTTCGGATTTGCTTCCCTGATTTAATATTTTACATGTAGGTAAACTTGAAAAGAACGTGTGATTTCAATGCAAAAATTTTACCGATAAAACAGTTCCAAATATTTTCCAAAATTTGCGTGTCGATGCATACCAATTAAGATTTCTTAACATCCAAAGACGTACGGCTGCAATAATAAAGTGAAATGCTTCGACCAATGGGATGTAAATCATATCAGGGATAGAAATGTATCATTTAAATACATTTCAACAACGCTATTTTTAATTTTATTTGATATCATACCGTAAACTTGACGCACGTGGCTTGCTATATTAACTGCAACATAATCAACAATGAAGTACGGAAGTAAGACATTTCGAGGATCGGCATAATCGGTGCTCCTCATTTTGACAACTTATTTTCTTATGCATTCACATTCTCACAAATTAGTCACGTATGAGGCCAAAGTGTACGCACCATTCATTTATGGGTTACATCTTGTGCTGATTTATTGCTCTTGACCGTCTTATATTGGGAATGTCAAGGCGGCCAAAAGAAACTCTTGGATCAGATAGCATGAATATACACTTCATCCACTCTGGAATAACTACAACAGAATATCATGACACTCCGTCATACCTGAAGTCAACGCGACTTGCTAGTGCCGTTTCTGGGTGGGTTTCACCAAGGCATCGTGAGAATTTTTAACAAAGCAAATAAGCAGGTAAAAGATATGAGCACAAATGAAGCGTTATATTTGTATAGAAAAAGATTTTAACGATTACATTACTTAATGACGTAACAACAGGTAGAGCAGTGCTACGCAACTGCCGGAAACAATGGTATCAGAAGTTTCATATTGTTAACTTTTCTTCTGCTCAGAAGGTAACGGCACTCCTTCACCCGCAACACTGACGAAAATTAAATTTATTCATTTATATCTGGCTATTCTGTTCTATAGTCGCATATTGCACTGCTGTTCATTGATTTAATTTCTTAAGCTTAAACCTGTGGTCAAACCTCGATTTTTTTGCCATATTCGCACTGATCATCTTCATTATCAAAGTTTCGTAGATTACAGGTTTTCAATATATATCAATAAATCAGTTTTACCCGTTTGAGACACGGCAGCTGTTATCAACATGAAATTTTCGAACAGAAAGCACATACAGGAAATTCACCTTCGCCCTCAATGACTTATCGATAGACTGCTTGCACTCAACTTTCGCTTCATCTAGTTACGCCGAATTAGCGTAAAGTTTTTCGCGACTACTCAGCACTAGGTTCATCTAAACCAATCATGGCATGTCTTAACTAAATCAATATTTCGAAGATTATGTAGACCTGAATTCAGCATTCATCACTGACAAACTCACACTTATACAGCCATACCTTTCGCGGACCCACTGAATGCACCAAGAAATTCTTCATGAAGTTTTCAAAGCTACAATTTC